CTACCCCTTCGTCCGCAATCGCCACCGCTGAAACTCTCTGGTCCGCAAACTCCACCGGCCCTGTTCCGCCTTTCCGCAATCGCCACCATCAAAATATAAGAATCCGCAAACGCCACTGGATTCTTGGAATCCGCAAACGCCACCGCATTCCCTAGTTTACCTGTAATATCTCAAATAGTTCTTCAATAATTAAAGATAAAGACTGGATTTTGTGAGACGCATTTCAATATGCATTTCAATTGTAAGTGCGAGCGGTTTCCAAGAAAGACTGTCGAATACATAAAAAAATTGTGCAGTAAAAATTTACCTATATACCTATCAGTCGTTTCACAAAAATCAGTCGATTTCGACTTTTTGACTCCGATCAGTTCATTCACCTTCAGGTGCGATACATTACTTTCACCACTTTCTCTACTCTTTTAACACGTGCTCAGAACCACTCCTCACCGGCTGTTTGACGGTCACCTCCCCTGGTAAAAATTGGCAGTAGGATCTGTGTTCCGAAATTCTATAAACTCACTGCCGGCTGTAAGATTTCCTATAGCTTCTGCAGCCGGCCATCCAATTTCTTATGACCTTTCACAGCCGATGGCGATAAAGCTACAACTAGGCGATAAACTATGTAGCCCGGCGTTATAGGAACTATAGCCCGGCTGTATTATTTTCTTCGTTTTCTACAGCCAGCTATAAGAATTCCTAAGGTATTTTGAAACGCAGCTCCTTTTGCCAATTTTTACCAGGGCCAGCTCCGGTGCTTTTGCTACTGAAATTACAGAATCATAATTTATTTTTCTTTTGGCGATTTTTGGTCTAAGAGTATAGGGTCATAATGGATCGTGCTCGAACTAGTAGATGAATAGAGCACCGTTTAAAAATGTTCTTTGGCTATAGGAGTTTCATAACACTTGATTATAAGGCCGGTGCTGAGGAGTACCTACCGCAGAACCCACCGAGCGCAACCATTGGTAAGGTTCAGATAACCCCGCAATGGGTCACTAAACCATGAACGAATTTTGACTTGCGAATTTAGTTTTCTGAAGGAAAATGACGCGTAGAACACGATGCGCACATTAAAAACGCGAACAAGTAACTCAATAACCGAGAAATGCGCAGTTCAAATCGCTCAACTTATACGCAAATTTAAAACGCCCCGGTTTCGCGCCGTGCCGAATGATGTCATCCGGCACCAATCAGAAGCGGGCACGGGTTTCCACGACTTCCGTCAAATGTCTATCTACTCTTCGTATATGAAAACAATACTAAAGTCGAAATTATATCTTTTGAATACAAGACTTGAATCTCATTCATATGTTAGTTGTAATAAATGACCAACAATTCCACATTAAGCGAATTTTCGCGATCGAATGTCATTCATCAAACGAATTAATCAGTGCTGAGTGATGCCGATGATCGGTGATGTCAAGAGCCAATCAGAGCTCAGATTTTTTTCCTAAATGAAATTAAGAAGAAAATAAGAAAACACGAAACACTAAAACACAGAAATTGCGAAAACACCAGGCTTGAATTGACAAAACACAACAACAGATAGAGATAATAGAGATGACAGAACAAAAATTTTGGTGAGAGATGAAGTTTCTGACATCGATTGCATCAATTCAAAAATCTAATTCAAGTCCCGAGGTGAATTCGAAATTTCAAATTGATGGATTTCAACGGTCTCTGGTGAGACCAACGAAGAAGTCGAATATCATTGAAAAAAAATGCACAATCGTCGCATATCATTCAACGGTGAATGATATTCGATCGCGAAAATTCGCTTATTGAAACATGTTTTATTTTAACAAACATCAGAGGAAAATGAGAGAAGATTGCGATATGACTACCGCAGTGCGTCAACACCGTCAGTCTCCCGCCATTCGTGTGCGTTTGAAATGTCTTGCAGTTTTTAGATTTTTCAAAAGCGGGTTTCTCCGCGATTTCGGCTCCATAAAAATTCGGAAAAATCACCACGTTATCTACTCACATTGTACTTTCAGAATATTTAATAAAATAAACAAGGTTTAGTGACCCATTGTATGGGAGCCTGCCCGAGGCCCGACCGGTACACAGAGCAGTGTGGCGAAGTCTCATGCCGTCTGGAAAGCATCGGTCTGCACCAACACGACACCAGTCTCGATAATATTCTCAATTACTTAAAGCTGAGCAGCACAGGGACCAAGACCACTTTAAAGTTCCGGACCTTTTTGAAATATTTTTGAATCACCTTTCACAGAACCTTTTGAGAATTAGGTATACCACTCTTTTAAGTTGATTTCAACTTTTCAACGGCCTGCAGAAAGTTGCACGTCCCCAGTAGGTAGAAGCGAAGAAATGGTATGACCATCAAGTAATGATAGTGACACAAACGTCGGATGGGAAAATAAGGATCTTAAGGAACATGGAGGTGCCAACTGACAGAAGAGGCGGAAGCCAACAGCAGGCCGGATAAAATAGTGAGATACCAAGATGGGTCTTGTCTTTTGATTGACATCTCTATTTCGATGGTTTGTAGTGTGATGCAGAAGGGAGAGAAGTTCTTAAAGTACAAGCCTTGAAGTAGAAGTACAACGTATGTTAAGATGTTCTCAACAGTACTCGGTTGTTGTGGGAGCAAATGGGGTGATATCAAACGCATCGGCAGGCTTCGTTAAAGGAAAAGGTAGGTACCTAGAAATATCACAATTGCAAGTACCTAGAAAAAAGCAGTATTGGGCACAATACGGAGAAAAATGCTGACTTGAGGAGGACGTGTTGTCTAAAAACTTTTTTAAATTCAAAGCCGCCAAAAAAGCCGGTGTTGCCATATTTTATTGCTTTAATTCACGAAAAACCTAGTGTTTCAGAAGTCGGAGGCAATTACTCGTCAAGCTCATTTCGCAAGTTCGAAAACCTTCATTTTTTACAAGCAGTGGCCACATTACCTACCAGGAATTTGATGCATGTTTCATCTAGTTATGTATTTATGTCTCGCTGTAGTCCAGGCAAATAAGGAAAAGAGGAAGAGTTTTCTGAAATAGACAATAATAAACATCACAAGTCTTATACTTGCGTGCCGTGATGCATTCGCCCTCCTCGAGCAGTTTTATTATGAAGCAGAAGAAAAAAAGAAAAAAAAAGAAAGAAAAAAAGGAGCGGAATACTGAACGATCGCTGTTGATAAGAATGAGGGGGGGGGGTCGTCAGGGTTGGGCAGAATCAACATTGAGAACTTGTGATTTTTATTCATACATTCCATCTCCCTACTTTTTCTTCCCCTAGATCTCATGGTAAAACTAGATTAGGGCGGATGCATCATGGCATGTTAGTATTAGACTTGTGATGTTAATATTATCAACTTCAGAAAAAACATATTTGTACGGTGACTGCCAATGCATGGTCGCTCATGTCGTGTATTGCGACTATGCTGAACTTCAAAACATGTCGTAAACTTGAATAGAACTTAAAAAAGTCATAATTTCCAATTATTTCTGAGAGCCAAAATTCTGAAGACCGATTACTGCCGTAAAAATAGGAGAGGGGGATGGTGTCAGATTAGGATAAAATCAACATTGAAAACTCGTGATTCTGATTCATGGCTCAAATATTTTCAGACGTCAGATAGCGATCAAAGTTTGGAAGTCGTATCCTTGATCGCAAATTTCATTCCAAGAATTCGTGAGAGGTCGTCTATAGGTGCATTATTTCAGAACAATTAATACCGGTACCTACATATAATCCACTTGCTTCTCTCATATATATTTATTCCATGCGCATGATCTGAAAAAATGGCGCAAAACCAGTTAAACGCGAATTTTTCTCGATTTTCACGAAAAATATGTGGCAACGCTGTGCCACAGCGGGAGATAAATACATAATTAGATAAAAAAAATGCATACAATTCCTAGTAATGGGGCTACTGCATAAGAAAAATAAAGGTTTTTGAACTTGCGAAATGAGGTCGACGAGCAGGAACACCCTCCGAATTTTGAAATACTAGGTTTTCCGAGAATTCAGGCAATAAAATATGGCAAAATCGGCTTTTTCGGAGGGCTCTGAATCAAAAAAGATTCGTGGAGGAAGATTTTGACCATACCTACGTCCATTTTCCCATTACGCCCATTTACCACCAAAGGACTTTACTTCTCAAATAACATGAGTCTTCCTTTTTAAACATTTTTAAATAACGATGAAAACCAGGAAAATTTTAAAAAGTTTCCTTTTTCAACTACGGGCGCAAGATTTGACATCGACAAAAATTGGCCAAGGCGACTTTCTTCCACCCCTAATGAACATAGGTACTTGAAAGACTTTTTGCTCCTCCCATAGGATCGTTACCTATGAAACGGCACGTCAAACGCCGAAAAATAACCCAAATCGGTCTTCAGATCCATGTTTGGGCAAGTATTAGACCTAGAAATAGACGAAAAATGATCAAATCATCCTTCCGTAAAATACAGACCTTCAATGAGCAAAAAACCGAGGAGTTGAGGAATTTCAGGGTGGGCCCAAAAACGGTCCCTGTCAATACCCCTCCTTTAAACGTTAAAGGACTCCCCTGGTAAAAATTGGCAGTAGCATCTGTGTTCCAAAATACTAGAGACTCACAGTTGACTGTTAAATTTCCTATATGTAGGTAGCTTCTATAGCCGGCTTTTCAATTTCTTACAGCCTTTTATAGCCAATAGCAATAAGGCTACCAGCCAGGCGATAAACTTTATAGCCCGGCGATAATATTATAGCCGGGCTATATTGGATGTATAATTATTTATAGCTTTGTATACAGCCCAGCTGTATGATTTTCTTCGATTTGTACAGCCATTAGATTTTCTATCGACTTATCTATAGCCAGCAATAAGAATGCATGTCGTATTTTGAAATGGAGCTCCTATTGCCGATTTTTATCAAGGTTAAGTCGAACTCATTCTTTGCTATTAGCTGCTCGGAAAAGTCCAGGCTCGGGCTATGGACAGTAAATACGATATCATGCAATGATACTAAAGGTAAATAAAACACTGTCAAACCTGGAAGAATTCATATTCTGTGATGTGAGCTGCAAGTCTGGTCAATGACTGTTTCCCGGAACCATTAACTCCAATCAATAAACCGTGACTCCTTGGCTGTTTTAGAATACGAGCAATACGTGTAAGATGCTCGACAGCATATCTGCAAACAGCAAATCACTGCGTCGTAGGTACTATAAAAATTACAGCGTTCTTTTTGAAGCAAAACTGCACGCTCAACATTTCGTAGTTTACAAGATCCAACCACTCTCGTAAGGTGTGATCTAGTAAAATTCATAATTTTGGCATTCTTACAAGCAAACAAATTGTATGACAGTATTTAAGGGGGTACTCTTAAATAAAAGATAAAGATATTCTGAAGTTTTTGGTGGATTCTCGGACCGGTAGAATTTGACAGGTAACGATATGTTGGCTGCTGGTAAACGGTAGAAAGAGTCTACATGAATTTTGCTCGGTCTTACATTTTAAGAGGGTTTGTTAAGAGGGTTCCTGAATTTTAAAATTGCGATGCATTTTTTGATCGATGATACTGGGAAAACAGATTACGGCACGCGAAAAATGAAGTGGAGAAGATACTGCACAAAATTTTCCTGGAACACGTCATTTCGACGCCTCAAAGCTTTGATAGGGTTTCAGAATTCTTAAGCTCCTTCCTAGGTAGGCAATTTTTATTGCGAGGACTGTAAGAAAGCAAAGCGCGTAGCTCACCTCTGAAAATTTTCGGGTATATGTGTAAGGGAAAAAGAAAACATATTTTGAACGGAAAAATCGATCTTGAAAGTTAAGTACGTTAACTTCTGGACACCCTGTGTATAGAGAATCAACCCTAATGATGAAGTTAACTTGCTGACTTGCTTTCCTGTTTATAAATCTTCAATATCGTTGTGATTAGTTATTCTGATAGCTCCAGCGAATAAATGAGTAAACCTATCTTTCTTCGTAATTTTCCTCTTCCTCATTTCAACAGAAAAACGTCTTTTCGTTGAAAGCAATTTCTTGAGAAGCATGTGAGTAATATGAAAAAGTAAGGTCATATTTGGAATTGGTGGGGAAAAATGGGGAGGAAAATGTCTGCAAGCACTTGACTGGAAATGTTACACCTTTTTTGTGGATGTAATATCACTTAGGAGGTCTAACATGAGAAAAAAAAGACAGACGGTGTTGTCGGATCTACGAAACTTCCCTGGTAAAAAAAGGCAGTAGGATCTGTGTTCCAAAATACTGTAGACCTACAGCCAGCTGTAAGATTTCCTTTGGCTTCTATATATAGCCGGCTATATAATTCATATAGCCTGCTACAGCCGATGGCGCTATAGCTACAGCCACGCAATAAACTATACATAGCCCGGCGCGGCGATAGGAACTATAGCCAGCTGTATAATTTTTTTTGCTTCGCATAGCCCGGCTGTATGATTTTCTTTGCTTTCTACAGCCAGCTATACCTATGACTTTCTATCGCCTTCAATGGTCGGCTGTAAAAATTCCTATGGTATTTTGAAACACGGTTCCTATTACCAATTTTTGCTACGCTTTGCCACATAAAATAGCGGCAGAAATCCTCAGGCATGCTGTAAATGATTTCCCATGTACATACCTTTCGTTGCTGAATGAAAGAACAACCCTGATTCATTCTTGTTATTCACCAGTTATCTGGAAAATTGTTTTTCGCTTTCATACAAAATACTCCTCAAAGGTAACTAGACACTGAAGATGCAGAGAAATAATAATATGTATTTCTACTCTCCCTCTATACAGGGATATCCAAAAGTCACTGACCACTCCTGTAACTTTTTTTCAAATTGAGATAGAAGTTTGAAACTTTGGCAATGTTCCTCGCTCTAAAGTAGCAACTTTTTGGTCCCCCCCCAGATTTTGGGGGGCGGTCCCCTCTAAGGGAGGCGGGGGCTAACTTTTTTTTTCAAATGGCAACCCCTCCTTTGTGATACCTCATTCGAAAGATAATAAAAAAAGAAAATTTTTGGCGCAAACCGCAGGTCAAAATGTTGATTTTTGACAAAATGGCGGCCGGTCAAAGTTCAAAATGGCAGAAATCTGACATCTCCGTTGTTTATTCACAGATTGGCGTTAAACTCGGAATCCTCGGGTTTTTCGAGACGAGAAAAACGATTCTGGCATTGGTTTTCCAGAAACGTCGGTCCTTTTCAAAATGGCGGCCTAGCGCGGGAAGTGGATATTTAGGCTGCTTATCGTTGTATTTGCATGAAACTTGATATTCGGGGGTACTTCGGCACGAGAAGAACGACTCCTTCATTGGATACTTGAAATTCCGACAAATTTCAACATGGCGGCTGAAAAATGGCGGGACATCAGTTTTACGGCTGTTTACCGATGGATTCACATGAAATTCGATAGCCTGGTGGTTTTTGGCTGGATAAAAAGGAATCTTTCATTAGATTTTTGAAATACTTAATAATCGATATCGAATTTCATGCAAATTCATCCGTAAACAGCTGTAAAACTGATATCCCGCCATTTTTCTGCCGCCATTTTAAAAGTTGTCAGAATTTCACATGTTTAATGAAAGATTCGTTCTCTTTGTCCCGAAAGAGCCCCGAATACCAAGTTTCATGCAAATCCAACGATAAGCACTAGTGATAAGCTACAGTGATTATATCCCTCTCCCGCGCTAGGCCGCCATTTTGAAAAGTTCCAACTTTTCTGGAAAACCAATGCCGGAATCGTTTTTTTCGTTTCGAAAAATCCTAGGATTCCGAGGTTTAACGCCAATCTGTCAATAAACAAGAAAGATATCAGATTTCCGCCATTTTGAACTTTGACCGGCCGCCATTTTGTCAAAAATCAACATTTTGACCTGCGGTTTGCGCCAAAAATTTTCTTTTTTTATTATCTTTCGAATGAGGTATCACAAAGGAGGGGTTGCCATTTGAAAAAAAAAGTTAGCCCCCGCCTCCCTTAGAGGGGACCGCCCCCCAAAATTTGGGGGGGGGCCAAAAAGTTGCTACTGTAGAGCGAGCAACATTGCCAAAGTTTCAAACTTCTATCTTAATTTGAAAAAAAGTTACAGGGATGGTCAGTGACTTTTGGATAACCCTGTTTAAAATTAACCAAGCAAACGATATGGATGCTCATGTCATCGCCAAATATTGAAAGCGCTATACCTAATTTTCCCTTAGTCATTTATTCATAACCGTCAACTTGTTTCGTAATTATACCTTGAAAATAATTGTAAATTGTAGCGTTTACATTAGAAGTTGAAGCTGTTTTCATCGGGATGCATTTTAACTGATTATTTTACTTTGGTTTTCCCCGATCACATTCATTTTTGAGACCTAGACGGTAGCTATTGTTGAACTCTTTTGATCATCATTAGGTCCTTACACTAAAACTTGGATGTGCGACATCCGTAAAACAGACATATACGTAAAACCTCCACTATATGAATTGTTTGCAGATTTTGATGTGTCACGGACCTCGGTGGAATTGATGAATTTCAACAAATTAAACTGTTTGGCGGTCTTGAAACCGATTAAAGTTTCACAAGGGTAGGTCCACGATGTGGAATTTTAGGTTATAACGATTGTTATTAAAAGATGCGGGTAAATGACATAATACCACAAGATGGAATGGGTTGACCCGTTATGGTCCTCATTCTTATTTGAGAGGGTATGATGATGTTTTCATCGAGATTAAGTTGTTTGAACACATATATAGGCAGGACATTTGTTTGAGCACCTGTATCGACTAAGACCTGTAAAGAATGGCGATTTATTTTGACACTAATAGACCATTTGCTGTCAGATGATTTTAAAGATAACAAGATGTTTATGTATAAAAACGAGTTTTCAACATCATTGTGTGTATTAGAATTGTAAGAATTGTTAAAATTGTGTGTATTAGCATTTTGAAAATTTTTAAAATCTAGTGTATTAGAATTTCGAGATAAAAGAGAACTGCCAGTTGAAATAGAGAAATGTATCAGTTTACTAGAGGATGGTTGTAGTCCCACATTGGATGATGACAGCAGACGGTGTGTTAGTTGGCAAAAACTTAGCACAGCTACAGGAAATGTTGTTTATGAACAAGATATCATCGTCTGACGATTCAACATTCAGATTGTGAAGTTTATTTTAGGGCAATGACGATTAAAATGATTTAGCTTACCACAATTGTCGCAAGTTCAACCATGAACAGGACATTTGTATGCATGATAATGTTGGCCACAACTGGAACATTTTTCTCCTTTGGGACGAGAGTCAAAATGACGTCTAGGACTCCGACGGCGAGAACGACTAGAACTCCGAGACGATGATGGAGACCGCGCGGTCGTATCTTGGATGAGGAGAATTTCGACGATGTCGGCTGTTTCTCGAACGTTGATAGGGAAAGACAGAGCGAGAACTGTAGCGATTTAAGTCTGCTGGAGTATAGGACCGTCTGGGTTTTGATGGTGAGCGGTACCGTCCGTACCTTGATGAAGAGTGCCGATTTGAGTTTGATGATGATGATTGCGCGTTCAAGACGTTGAATTCAGGTGTTGATTGAAGTTGCTCCACGCGATGTTTGGAGAGTTGAATTTTTTGGGCAAATTCAAATGTCTCAGCGAGCGTTGACTTGTCTTCTAGAAGTAAGCGTTCTTTGATACTTGAATCATGAAGAACACAGATGAAGAGATCTTTGTCAATGCTGTCTTGAATGTCATCAAGTTGACATGTGCGAGAAAGATTGCGAAGGTTGGTGACATAAGATTCATGTGTTTCATCTGCTTTTTGCTTTCTGCTGAACAACTTGATTCGAACAACGGTTACGTTGGGTTTTGGTGCAAAATGTTTATGAAAGAGTGCAACCATGTCAACAAATTTGGTTTTGAAGATGTCAATTTGGAAAGATTGTTAAATGGTGAAGGCATTATCAGACATGCACTTGAGCAGAAGAGCGTTTTTCCTGCGGTCAGAAGCTGTGATGAGGTCAGTGGCGACAAGACCTAGCTCAAATTTCGCATACCCCTGTTTCCCATTTGCGGAGAGGTTTCCCTCGAATAACATTGGAGGGCATTCTATATGAAAGTTTCACATTCTGAAGCCTTTTTCAGATGGGAAATCGAAAAAAGACGGACGACGACAAGATAAAGCATTTTCGGGTTTCGGTGAAAAGGACGTGGATAGAGGTTTGGCTGAGCATTAGGCTTAGGACTTAGAGTGACATTAGAATTGAACGAATCATACTAGGACATTGGACGGACAGATATATGCACAAACAGATTTTTCGGGCGAGGACAGAGCGGATTGACAGGACTTACATTGGGTTAGGACATGACTGGACTAGATGAGGCATGCGGCGACCGGTGACGGCTAGGCTCTTGCAACCTCGTGACACGCGACTCGAACCGGACATGATTTGGCGACTAACAGATCACGGAAACGCGAGCTTCAGGTCACCACACGAAGAGAAAGAAACAAACAAACTGGAAATGATAAAGACACACACTTGACACCATGTTAAAAGTGAGAAATGAAGAACTAGTAATGGAGTTACGGTATGGACGCCATTATGTCTCTATTCAATGTGCCGCTAAGACATCTGCTCCGGCAGCTGGGCTTACATGTAGTGTTGCCAAGTTCTGACCCTGACAAAAGTGGGGTGGTAACACTGATAGCCCCTCCGATCCTATTCAAAGTTGTGCGCACGCACCAACACCGAGCGGGCAACACGATGACGCAACTCTGAAAACCAGGCAAAAACCAATGATAAGAATAACGGAAACGCGGTCCTGGTGCTGCTCCCTCCAAATGTTTTTACTAAGTTTTTTAATATTAGTATTTTACCATGTAATGACCGTTTTCCGGATGTCGCACATCCAAGTTTTAGTACAGTGACCTGACGATGATCGATACGAGTTTAACAATAGCTACCGTCTAAGTCTCAAAAATGAACGTGATCGAGGAAAACCAAGGTAAAATAATCGCAGTTAAAATGCATCCCGATAAAAACAGCTTCATCTTCAAATGAAAACGCTACAGTTTACAATTATTTTCAAGGTAAAATTACGGAACAAGTTGACGATTATGAATAAAAGACTGTAGAGAAAATTTACAAGTTAAAATTCCCAACAAGATTTTACCATTTTTAAGGCAAAATTAAACGATATGTTGACGGTGATGGACAAAAGAATGACACGAATGAACCTGCGCAATTTAATTGACCTTCGCAATTAAATAACCTTCTACCGAGGAAACTTTCAAGGGAATGTCAGCCGGGAACTTACTAATAGGTATTACATTTCTTTAGTTATTTAACTTGAGTTAAGGACCTTTTCGTACTTACTTGAACATCACTAAATTCAAAGGCTTCTTGCTCATATTGTTATATTCAGTCAAATAACCTTCAATGATACCCTGTAAAGTATCAATATCTTCTACCTCCAAGTAGTGCCGCATATCAGCTTTAGGGTTTGTGAAGTCACAGTAAATTAAATTTCGCAACTCATATTCTGTTATCTGAAATTTTTAAAACGACTAATAAGTGACCGACAATATTAAATTATTTCCTTAAGGATAATTTCACAATAACAGAATAGCCATACCGCCATGGATTATGAGCAAAATCGGCAGGGCACGTAATTGAGAACATAGGTTATGTATTGAAAAAAATGATGACACCGAACTTGTTCATGCAAAAAAAAACTTGAAAAATTACAGTCATATTTGAAAATATGAGACTTTGCGGATCGAAAATGTCTGGTCGGTTCCGCGTCGCCACGACCTTAAAGACAAAGAATGATGTTCGGCAATGAATTTGTTGTGATCGTGAATTCTCCGGCAATCGTATTTTCCGGAAGGGTTTACAATGCTCACGAAAATTGCAATATTGAACTAAAATTTGTTTTTTACGCGAGAATAGTCATTAGAGACACGTGTCGCACATTTGGCAACACAACTTGAATGTTATAGCATTTAGTGCAATGTTCTTATCGTTAGCCAAGAGTTTCAAAACTTTCATAAATTTTTTTGGTGAAGTCTATTTCGGCAAACTGTTAAGGTAAATCGTATTTATTTACAAGATAGGTAAACTTTATTTCTGAGGAAAACCAGTGATTTGGGCGTGTGGAGCACTAATTCTTCAGTCCTCCAAATCCATAAGTTAGCATAATTAAACTTAAAGAATCTCCTCAAAGTTTAAAAAACTTTTAAGACTGCACTTATCCTAAATCATTGCTCAGGAATTGCCAAGATTCGTATTTCCTGTCATCTTCAACACCTCTCCCTACTTTCATATCATTCCCTATCAAATACATGCTACCTCTCCAACACTACTGCATGCAGGTCTTTTTTATTTTCAAAAATTTTAGTGTAAAAGTGACTCGTCCACTTAACGCTATCCCAGTCGGTATGGAAAGTGATGAGGTCAGATAGATTTGAACTAACATTGATTGGTTCACTTTCAGCAAGATGAGAGCACATTTCATTGAGGTCCTGTTTCAAATTTTCATGGCACACTAGATGCAAGGTGCGAACGAGCCAGATGCAGTCTTCCTCACTGACGAGACGGTCGTAATAGACGCGCATCACTTCATGCACCCACAGTCTCTTCATTGCAGAAAGATCCTCAACTGCCTCCGGAACCGAAAGGAGAACACCCTAGATGAAAAATTATGCATATCCACCATCTTAACAAACCTCCTGAAATACTTAGGGATGCAATTACTATGTCTGATTTCAAAGGGGGAAGCATTGGGCCTTGTCTCGACGGCGCAACCGTTGCGGGAATTTGGTGCAACTGTTGACGGAAGATGTTCCAAAAATTTTTTATATATAAGTAAAACTTTCAAGGTCGAATACCGAATATCGAACAGTTGTTTACCTTCATGTTCTGGATTGAAAAACGCCGGTTACGGTGATAGGTACGTGAGTTTTCAGGTGTTTAATTTCTGAGTGTTTAATATTTAGAAATAGTTAAGCTATTTTATATTTTCCTTACTAGGGTATCACTACAGCAGGACAATAAAATTTTTTCGAATATTTCTTTTAACTTGTATGAGTGTCATGTTATTACTTTCTCGCTCCCCTCGTGCGTAGAGGAAGTAGTGTCATCGACCAAGAGGAGAGAGAGAGAGAGAAAAAAGTTGAAATTTCATCATTTCTAGACGTTTTAAGATCCCTGGAGTCAAAATAACTATACTTGAAAAAATGGGTGTCCGTTCGTCAGGCGTCCCCCAAATTTGTGTACACAGCCATATCTCAGAATGTATCTGTTTAATTTCATTCAAAATTTGCATGGTAGACCATATCTATGGTCTCCTTATGCACGTCAAGTGATTTTGGAGGGCGTCAAAATTTGGGGGGGGGATAGGGGCAAAACATGATTTTTATCAAATTCACACGGAGAGCTCACTTTGACAGATTGTAGATTTTGGAAAAAGGCTTTTATTTCTTTAAAAGTTGGCGCAAAGCACCACCTGGGTCATTAATTTAAGTTCCTGAAAGATCTTTGGACTATTCTCAAAATTGAAGAGGGGCCAATATCAAATGGTCAATTCTCTGCTAAATGAGACGTAAAACGCCTGAATATTAGCAGCAAGCGCTTTCAGTCAGGTAAGATCAAAGATTTCAAATGTATTATCTCCAAAATTACTTCGCATATCAAGCGAAATAAACAACGATAGGAAATTAAACGACTTCCCAAGTAGCATTTGTCAATGTAAAAGTTGCAAATTGTTGAAACAATGTTGATATTAGTTGCAACGAAGTTGCAACTTTCGGTCAACTTTTGGTCGATAAGTGCCGATTTTCGGCAATACAATCCGATAGGAGGACAAAGTTGCAACCTGCTGACATCGCAAAATTGCTGCACCAAAGTTGTTTAAAATTTTAAGATAGACAACCAGCAATACTTTGAAGTTGAAACATGTTTCAACTTAATTGCAACTAGTTCCAACAATGATAGCTCCTTCAGGGGAGAGTGTAGGCAATCTGCACATCACTCTATTACACTGGTCAACATGGGTTCTGTCCTGAAAACCAAACCAATTTTTTTCGATTCCTAGGTGATAAAGAAGCCCGAAAATGGTCATATTAACTTCAGGAAAATTTGCAGGTCCTCAGGGCGCCGTCATTTTGAATTTTTCAAAATTGATAAAACCCACGATTAGATTTTTGCAAATATCTCCTCAACGGTTCATCTCAAGAAAAAAAACAAAAAAAAAAACCAGCGGAAAGAGCATACAATTTCCTACCGAAATTATCCTCCTTTGCTTGTTCTAGCTTAATTTTTCGGTCGTGAAATTAACGTTTTCTTCAAAAATTAGCTTTAAAAAAGGCGCATTTTTGCTGACTTTAGGAGAAACTTTGCTTCATACCTCCAGGCACAATAATCTAAGAAAAAAACTGTTATGCTCATTGAAAAGAGCGTAAAATTTACTACTAGGAAACATATGTTAATAGTTCCTAAACTTTGACTTGATCTTGTGAAGCAGCAGTTTATTAGCTCCGCCCTTAAAATGTGATCTTCTCGACCATTTTCCTTAGAATCACGAAAAAAAGAGAAAAAACCCTAAAAACGAAACCCGAACTGTGTAAAAAGGTGGCAAAATAGTGCTAGGTCCACACAATTTTGTAAACAAAGCCGAACAGTTCCAAAATTTTCAGGTGGGTTCACATGACGAGTGTGATCTATGGAAAAGGTATAAAAACACCCAAAATTATAGATCTCTCGACGTTACCTCACCTTAATATTCCAATGCAAACTGCCTGAGCTGAACACTCACCCCCCTCAGTTTCGTATTGATACTCACTGGAGCTCCTAGGTAATTTTTGACTCTGATTGAAAATTTTGGAACTTTTGGCTTTGTTTGCAAAATAGTGTGGACCTAGCACACAGCAGGAATATTAAGGTGGGGTAACGTCGAGAGATCTATAATTTTGGGTGTTTTTATACCTTTTCCATAGATCACACTCGTCATGTGAACCCACCTGAAAATTTTGGAACTGTTCGGCTTTGTTTACAAAATTGTGTGGACCTAGCACTATTTTGCCACCTTTTTACACAGTTCGGGTTTCGTTTTTAGGGTTTTTTCTCTTTTTTTCGTGATTCTAAGGAAAATGGTCGAGAAGATCACATTTTAAGGGCGGAGCTAATAAACTGCTGCTTCACAAGATCAAGTCAAAGTTTAGGAACTATTGACATATGTTTCCTAGTAGTAAATTTTACGCTCTTTTCAATGAGCATAACAGTTTTTTTCTTAGATTATTGTGCCTGGAGGTATGAAGCAAAGTTTCTCCTAAAGTCAGCAAAAATGCGCCTTTTTTTAAGCTAATTTTTGAAGAAAACGTTAATTTCACGACCGAAAAATTAAGCTAGAACAAGCAAAGGAGGATAATTTCGGTAGGAAATTGTATGCTCTTTCCGCTGGTTTTTTTTTTTGTTTTTTTTCTTGAGATGAACCGTTGAGGAGATATTTGCAAAAATCTAATCGTGGGTTTTATCAATTTTGAAAAATTCAAAATGACGGCGCCCTGAGGACCTGCAAATTTTCCTGAAGTTAATATGACCATTTTCGGGCTTCTTTATCACCTAGGAATCGAAAAAAATTGGTTTGGTTCGAAGGACAGAACCCATGTTGACCAGTGTAATAGAGTGATGTGCAGATTGCCTACACTCTCCCCTGAAGGAGCTATCATTGTTGGAACTAGTTGCAATTAAGTTGAAACATGTTTCAACTTCAAAGTATTGCTGGTTGTCTATCTTAAAATTTTAAACAACTTTGGTGCAGCAATTTTGCAATGTCAGCAGGTTGCAACTTTGTCCTCCTATCGGATTGTATTGCCGAAAATCGGCACTTATTGACCAAAAGTTGAAGGTTCGAAGGACAAACCAAAACCCGAAATTTGTTAAGCTGTGTTATTAGCAAGAATCAATCGATTCTGTTGCAAGTTGTTGCAACCTCTGCTACTTGGGTTATTACGTACTTACAAACTATGATCATCCAAGCTGACACTAGAGCTAACACTTGGATCTCTATTGGAAGCTAATATGTATTTTGATCATGAGCTCAAGCATCCCGGCAGATTCCATCTTTCGCGGCTCCTTTTTGAGAGGTACTGAACACAAATGTGATAATACTGCAGAACATGATTGTACTCACACAGAGTACACACATGATTGTACAGAGATTCATTGAGTACAGTGATTACACGAAGCATGAAGCAACTATTTTGCATTTTTGTTTACAAAATTACCACACAAGGGAGATGTGAAAAGTAAGATTGGTGGTAAGTCGAGACAAATAAAGAATGGTGGTCGCAATTTGCACCCTCTTGACGTCACACGTTATCGGGTACGTTTTGGGTACATCCTGATTGCATGGCAAAGATGTACCCTCTGCGCGTCACAGCGTTTAAAATGGCGGCTCAACTCGAAATGCGACCGCAGCCTTTCTTCATCCGCCTTGGTGACAAATTAGTGAGGCTGCGAGAGTCTGGCGCGGCGCCGCGTTCCTGGCGGATGGGTGGTGAATCATTTCAAGTGGGTAGAAGTCCCAGGCGGAGAACCTCGTATGTTGCTAATTTCGTCGCTCTTGCCACATGTCTTCGGTGGCCGAAGAATCAAGACACACGCCTGCACCCCGACAGCTGACAGGTGCGCGAGTCCCTATGAATCACCTAAAATTTTACTCGCTCAATAGACCCCGCATCATGATTCTTCGTCCAAATAAGTCACCAAACTCATTTCTTTATTTTCATGTAAATTTCATTTTGAAAATATTTGTGGCGATGATAAATAGGTCAGTACCTAGTTCAATTAACGATTTCATGTTACAGCTGTGCCTTCATGTTAACTTTGCGACCTATTACAAGGCCGGTGCGGAGCGTCGACTCGAGCGAGAAAGTTTATGTGCGGTCTCTGCACCACACCAAGGAGAGGAAGGAGGCAAATCCCCCCCCCCCCCCCCGACATATGCTGGTGCGCAGCGTCGGTAACTGGCCGAGGACCAATTTTCTTTTTTGTCATGATAATAGGTCAAAATTTCACAAATACCCACCTCCTCTTAATGAATACTTATTAGTTTAGTTATCCCAGTTGACATACTTAAACCTAAAAGAAAATAATAACGTTCAAATATTCCCGCCTAAAACTTCCAGGAACACAAGCGCGTGCGTCAGGACAGGTAACTTTGGTTGGTACAACCAACGCGCAACAGTTGCACCTAATTCCCTTCACAGTTGCGCCGTTGAGACAAGGCCTTATGAAGAGCATCACTTAAGTGGCGAAGTACAGAGTTTGTACAGTCTATAATCCAAGGCTAAAATCTAAAATATAAAATTTAAAATCGTCATGCCTAAAAATCACAGTCAGTTTTGTAAATCAAACTGTATATTCCCATCTCAAAACCAGTTGCATATTCCTATATCCAAACCCAATAATGAATTATCCAATACTGATGCCGCTGATGCCCACTGTCCGATGGCAAAAGTCCAAGGTTCTGATACACAGCCGCGCCACTTAAAGGAAAATTTCCGATTCAGATCCTTCTCTCTAGTTTCTGATGTCCGGCCCATTCTGAAAGATACGGTCTATTGACCAATTACAAAATATTCTAATTCTCGACTTTTTTTTTTGGCACGATTCAGCAACATTTCAAAAAATAATTTATTGTTTTGCAGCCATTTGGCAACGCTGTGAGGTGCAATGTCACCAAATTGCACCAATAATTTGATATTTAATCAATCAACTAGCAACTCTGGAAAATTTTCAACATTTTGGAAATTTTGAAATCTTTGGAGTTTTACAATTTTAAAATTTTGAAATTTGAAAATTTAAACATTACATTTTTACAACGTTGCCAAATGGTTCAAAGTCCACCCCGCAAAACCCCCAATTCAATTCATATTTTTCTGCACAAGTAGGCACAATATCTGGCCTCAAATTGCCATTATTACTCTACTGCTCTCTAAAATGGTAGAGGGCTCTAATATTTTTACTGGAACTGTAATAATTATGTCAATTTTTGACCACATGAAATGATCTCAGTCTCAATGAACAGTTTTTAAGTTGATTCATTTCGTCTGAATTAGAGCCTAAAATTAGATTACCTGGATGACTTTAGCGAAATCACGGAGATTAAACATGTAATGAACTTTAGATGGAGTAGGTCGTAGATTCAAGAGACACGCTTTGTAGAATGCTAGAGTAGCAGACACAATCTGCTCGATGCAAGGATCGAATTCCTTGCTAAATCCCCTAAGAGAGACAAAACAGAAGAAAATAAGAAATAAGTACCTAAGTCAGTACTGCTCAAAAATTATATATTACAATGAAAGGGGCATTACCACATCTATACTATAAGCTCCGAGACCTCCTAATTTTGCATAACTGGTAACGCGTAGTTCCAGCGTTCTACCGGGCCGATTTTCATGATTTTTGCGGCTATTGACAGGCAATTGTCTCTAGATGAGTCCGCTGTCATCAGAGTTTGAAAATAAGACCCAGGTCTTTTTATGTTACAGGAGACTAGAGTCCCTTTATACTGAGAGTCAAGACAATGTGAATCCATTTCTGATTGGTTCCCGTATTTTAGGCCTTCACAGTGTCACAAACGGGAATAAAGATTACATTTTCACCGATTGCAAAGATTATAATCTGGAATTGACCAGGGAATTACGGGTTCGGCAAGGAACAAACGGAATGAGAGAAGGAACGGAGAAAGGAATTTGAGAATGGGCCGATCAAATATTACAAAAAACGTTCAATTTCTGTAATCTTTATTTCCGTTTGTGACTCCATGAGGGGGTGTTGTCTTGACTCTCCGTATAAAGGGACTCTAGAGGAGACCAGAAAGCTTAGAAAGGGGGGCAAAATTTGAAATTCCCGCCAATGAGAAATGGCTGGAATTTCAAATTTAGCGGAAAATGTCAAATCTTGGTCTGTTAGTAGGGGAAGGGAATGAATCGAAGGTATGCTGCTTTCCTACAGACTATCCAAAAGCGATGAAATGCTCCGTTCCGTTTCGTTCCAGTCTCGTCGTGAAGTTTGAAATAAATGCCGATTTTTTCATTCGATTCTTATTGGTCCAATTGCTCCCGGCCAGAGGGAGATTGGATAAAGGAGAGTATCCGGTATGAAAATCTTTTCATTTTTTTGGTCGTTCTTTTGTCGACACGGGCCTAAGAGAACGCGAAGCACATTCTGGGGGTTGGACCGCGTAGCGGCCAGGAATCATAGCCCCCTAGTATTCTCATAAGAAAGTATGATTTTGCTGATGCATGTGTTCGTCATCTGATGAAAATAGAAACTAAATAAAAAATGAGTAAATTGATCGATACTGCTTTCGATCCTTCTACATTGATATGTTTTCAGTTTGAGGGTTCGGTATGTTTGACGTGTTTTGTACGTGTTTGATATTCGCGGTGCTTGGTACTCGTATAATTCATATGTTCGTAGTCTGTGTTTAAGTTTAGTGTGCGAGCAAGTGGTGTACAATGTGGTAGGAATGTTTGTTTTGTCAGATTTATCGATGTATTTCTTTTATTCCAAAATGATTAACCCAATAGTCCTTAAAGAACCCTGCACATTACTTGTAGGGATGTGCACCACGATCGATTCCCAATTTTTTTACTGCATTAAATTCGTTTTTAGATGCTGACGTCGGCAAAATCCGATAAGGATGAGGCTGAACTCTTTGCCGACCACCTGGCTAATGTTTTTGAACCAAATTCCCAGCCGGCAGCAACCAAAGAAGATAAAACTATAAACTTAGAGGAAGATGAATTGAATACTCCTTTAATGAAACCCAAAAATTTATTTCAAAATGCAAAACAAAAAAGCACCTAGTACTGATCTCTTTACCGGTACAATATTTAAAAAATTACCAGTTAAAGCAATTTACAAAATAATAAACCTTTCCAATGCAATTTTTTATTTTCAAAAAATCCCCAAACAATTTAAAGAGGCAGTAATTATCCTTTTTCACAAAAAAGCAAACAGCAACCAAACCATCATCTCATAGGCCCATTTCTCCTCTCTTATCTATTAGAAAATTATTTGAAAGAATATACAGGGTGTCCCAAAAGTCCCTTCCACCCCCTCTAAAATTTTACCAAATTAATATTTTGAAACGAAAATTTGGGGATGTTCATCGATCAATGTTAGCTACTTTTGAGGCCCCCCCTCCTGGGGAGGGGCTGCGGACCCCAACTTGTTTTCAAATAGAAACCCCCCCCATTGTGAAACATCAATCGAAAGAGAATAAAGAAAGAAAATTCTTGGCGCAAACCGCAAGTCGAAATCTTAATTTTTGACAAAATGGCGGCCGGTCAAAGTTCAAAATAATGGAAATTTGACATCTCCGTTTTTTTGACGGATTGGGACGAAAATTGGTATTCGACGGTTTTTTGGGACGAGAAAAACAATTCTGGCATTAGTTTACCGGACATCCTGTCCTTCTCAAAATGGCGGCGGTCAAAATGGTGAACTGAAGCGGTAACGGAATATTTAGGCTGTTTATCGGTGAATATGCATGAAACTTTGCATAGGGGGAATTTAGACATGAGAAAAACGAACCCTTCATTGGAGTTTTGAAATTTCGAATAACTTCGAAATGGCGCCGGACAAATGGTGGAAACTTGGAATTACAGACGTTTACGGTTGGATTCGCATGAAACTCGGCCGCCATTTTGAAAATGTGTAACATTTCAAAAATTTAAAGCAAGAGATTCCTTCTTGTCGAACCAGAAACCAACAAAACCCCGCGAGGGTTAAAAAAAACATCTGAAGTGGTTTGAACAAAATACTCTTCAGCCTGTGTGAAATTGAAAGTTAAATTACTGAGTTACCTCGTGTCAAGATGCCATAGCATGATCTTACTGTAAATTGCAACCATGACTTGATCAGAAAATTCATTAATTGCTACAATATTGAAATGTCTGCTAAATCGAGGCGTGATAGAAGTCTCTGGGTTGGTTGGATTCACAGCAGCGATCAACTGTATAAATCAGAGATGAAAATCATTAAAACTTGATGTAAATCATGACTACGAGAAGTATAAAGGAAAAGGAAGAAGAAATTGATGTCAGATAGTGCATGCGCCATGGTGGATTGGTGGTGGTGGATTTGCGATCTAAGTACTTCAGCTCTAGAAACATTTCGCGAGAAACAGGATGCTGTTACTGGTTTTCTTTGATATCGACTTCAAATCGACGAGGCCGTAATGGNGGGGGGGGGGGGGATTTCCCACGCTACCCTAAGAGTCCACTTCTACCGAATGTTCCAAAGCACCCACCCACTATCTTTTTCTTAGAAACGGCCGGGAATTGAGCTTCGGGACGAAAACTTTCTGAATGTAAATCAACGCCAAAGAATTCAATGATAATACATTCAGCCCCCAAAAACCCAATTTTGGGGGGGTTTGTGGGTAGTGCTTCCCGTTTCTCGCAAATTTCAAATATGAAGGGTATGTACTTGACTTTGGATTTAAATTCTATGGCCGAAAATAGGTACTGTTTGTTCCTTGTACTTTCCCCCTAAACCCCCATTTCTTGGAATAACGGAATTTTGGGGCATTTTTTGGGGAAATTCCAATGAGACACTGTAGGCGTTAAAATAATCCGATTTTCAAAATCAAAGTCTCCTGGTAGAAGAGGTCAATACTTTTTTTTTTATTGATGTGCCTTATAATCCCTATTGATCCCAAATTAAGGGGGCCAAGACCCCCGAAAATTTTGTGGCTTTGGAAGGTCAAAAGTCAAAAATTTCAAATGGTAAGGGTATGTTTTGACTTCAGATTTGGACTCTACGCAAAAAATTACGTAGAAGTTGGCGCAATGGTGACTTTTGATTAGAATCAGTATACGAGTTATATTCAATAAAAATTGGGAATTCGATCATGTTACACATTCCCATTTGGAGTGTGCGGGTCCTTTAAAAATTCAACAGAGTAATTCCATGCGGTGAGTCCTTCAATCTCCTAGGTAATTTTAAGTCAAACGACGTCGTTCTCTAGAATCTACGACTCAGAAAATAAGTAAAAACTAATAAAAATTGAGTACCTGGACATCTAAAATTTTTACTGGAATCATATCCTTCTGCTCAAACCACATATTGTGGTCAATCAACTGTCTCATTAATTCAACGGGAGGTTTGGCTCCATAGGCTTCTTCATTCGGCATATTGACATCATCGATGAATAAAATACATTTTTTTCCAAGAGCAGGACCATAGACACCTGTGTCAATACGTAAAATTAGGAACTGAGAAACCAGAGTCACGCCAAGGAAGTCCAGTCATAATGCTCATAATTATCAAACTTCAACGAATTTAAGGATTGAATATCAGTAGGGTGAAAACAGGAATTAAAATACCTACTGCTGTTGCCAAATGGTTAAAAAAATTTAATTGAAGGTACGAGTCGGAAATCCCTAATTGCATTGCTGTCAAGTGACCTGTCAAGCAACACCACCAGATGTAGGTTAGATTAAGTTACTCGAAACCACTGCACTTAAGTTAGGTCAATCGACACCAATGCAATGCGGTGTTGCCAACTAGTGCTAAGAATTAATTATTCTTGCACCATCCGGCAACAGCTGTTCTTAAATTCCTATTTATACCTTACGATGGAGCAAGGAATGTATTAGGGTAAAATATTTTCGTTTGGTCCTTCAATACAAAATGACTGTTTAAGTAGTGGGTAATGGTTAGTATATTAGTATTATGATAATTAATGCTTTTGAATATTGCTATGTAATGGTTTGTTTGCGCAGCAGGCCCACAATTCTGTAGCTAGTGCTAACATCTGTCGCAGAGACATTAAGACAGATTCTTTGTAAAGCTAACAATGTCTCAATTGAAAGTATCATTACTCTATGGAATGCAATCATCACAACCTCGCTACTATACGCCAGCGACATATGGGCACTATGGTATATTAATCAACTGGTGACAAGTAACAGTGCAATGTAAATTCCTCAAAGGAACCCTTCAATTACAGAAATACACAGCTCACTACATTGTCAGAGCGGAAGCCAATGTTGAGAGACTAGAAACCAGAGCGATTGCCCTTGCATTGATTTGGCTACCTACTTACAGTGGGAAATATGTCCGCAACCAGATATCCAAAATAATTCCGAGGTAAACTAATTAAACTAGATAAATGTAAGATGAACAACGCCAAACACATTTGGGTGACACAGTAATAATTGATACTTGGAACAGTGAACAATCAAGGACTCCTAAATGAAAATCTAATTATCGCAGAAACTAAAATAAAAGCAGCCTATACTCTTGCCAACCATTAGGGTAAATTAGTGAAGCACGGTTTCGATAAGATCGAAAATGCATCCTTTACTCCGCCTTACATACTATTAAGTGATATGAATGGTCATACCAAACCACAGGCCAGCTACTAACTTACATTGCAGAATTAATTTCAAAAATAAAAAAAAAAATTCAGTCAACTGAGAACCATCAACGAAAGGTACCTATCTCAAAATTGGAATCAATTAGTGTTGGAACAAAATAAACATTTGGGAACTCTCCCGCCCGGCAAGCCAGGAATTTTGACGTTATAGTAATATTTTATGGAAATGTTTCTCACATTTAAATGTAATATATTTTAGCAATGTTTTTTTAATTCATTTAAGCCGGTGTTCTATAACATTGAAGCAATGTTTTAAAAATCATAACTAGAAATATAATTGTACAAAAATTTCTAAGCAACACATTTGGGTTAAGTATATTTATTAATAATGTTTCAGTAATATTATTTGAAATATTAAAGTTTATGTTACAATAACATTTTTAAGAAACTGCGAAAATATAATACCACAATTTTTAAATACATGTTTTTATTCAACATTGTAACATTGTTAAATGAATATGTTTCTATTTATTATCATAAAACAACATTCCAGTAACGTTTAAGAACTTAACTGCGTAAACGTTTCCAATCGTCACAGAACACGTCCCTTATGAAAAGTTACTCGGTGCCAAACGTAGATTTTCTTATTCCAGCCGCGGACCCGAAATTGTAAGAAAAAGGATTGATTGTTTATAATGTTGCCTTTCTTTTGGATGTCACAAGCATTTTTTTTCAGATTTCCTTCTACAGAACAATTCGTTATTGTTTCACTTTTCTCCGAACATGACTCAAATCTTATTCTGCAGCCCTCGGATCTTCAGTCTAGTCCCTCCGTCCCCCCGCGTCCGATTCGATTTTGCTTTAAGTTTCGGTTGGCGGTCTTTAGGCTTCTCGGATGTTTTTTTTTATTTTACTTATTTATTCACTTATTTATTTCTTTATTTATTGTTCTATCTATGTTTCATTAACATATATTTTTCAGGGGCCTTATACAGGGTTATTCAAAAATCACGCACCACTGGCCATGAAGGGGGTGGCCGTTTGAAATTTTTGAGTTGCCCTCCGCCCCCCTCCCCCCGAGGGGATAAAAAATTGGAAAGTATCTAAACACGTTTCCCCCTCGATAGGAGGAAAAACGTCTTAAACCGCAAATTGATATCATAATTAGAACTAAAAGTTTTGGCCAGTGGTGCGTGACTTTTGAATAACCCTGTAGCTCGAAGATGCTTTGGAGCCGAATGAATTCTAAATACCACTATTTTTTTATTGAAATATTTTAATCTATGTTATTTAATTAATATATTTTAATATATTTTATTTCATTTATTCACTTTAGTATATTTTATTTATCTACTCTGATATATTTTGTTTTATTGACTTATTTTAGTATATTTTATTTTATTTATCTATCTTGAGATATTTCGTTTTATTTATTTATTTCAATATGATTTATTTTATTTATCTACTGTCATATATTCTATTTTATTTATTTATTTTAATATATTTTATTTTATTTCTCTATTTTAATCTATTTTATTTTAAGTATTTTATTTATTATTTTTAAACTATTTTATTTAATTAATTCAGTTAATTTATATTCTTTATTCATTCCTTTTTTATTTTATTTCATTTTCAATTTCATTTATTTTTTTTTTCCTCATTATTTTAATAACTGTTATTTTTTTATTATTCCGATTTTTCCGAGCCTTTTGGGTATGACTTTTCCCAAACTCAAAATGTGTTTAAAATACATTTTAAAAATGTTCTCGACGAGTAATAAATCAATTCTTATGTATTTTGACTTGTTGAACTCGGGTATGACCTTAGATTTTTCCTATCTTCCCTCATTTTCCCGAAAAAGTAGATTTACCTCGGAGAACGAGCTTTTTTTGGTATTTTTGCAACAATGTCTCTGATCTATGGTCTCTTTTGGTCTGTTCTGATGTCTTAAGAGCCATTACACCCGAGTACGACCTCCAGTGGCCTCTGACAACCCCCCGTTTTCCTTAGAATGAGAAAAATCTTCACAAAAATACCAAAAAAGCTCGTTCTCCGAGGAAAATCGACTTTTCCAGGAAAATGAATGGTGACAAGGAAAAATCTAAGGTCGTATTCAGGTTTAACGGATCAAATTACGCATGGATCGATTTATTACGCATAGAAAACATTTTTGAAATGCATTTTTAACACATTTTGAGTCCGGGAAAGGTTTTACCTACACAAAAGACTCGGAAAAATCGGAATTATTGGAGAAAGGGAGGGTGATAAAAAAAATCCAGGTCATATATTCGGACACTTGTTAGCTTGAAATACATAAGAATCACTCTACCGCGGGTCCAGGATAATTTATCATAATGAATTGTAAGCAAGACAAATATAAAACAGATTTGGTCAGTTTCCCAGGAAACAGTCGCTTTTTCCGAAAAGTGAGAGGTGCTAAGAAAAAACGAAGGCCATTTTCGGACTCAGCAGCTCAAAATAAATCGGGATAGCTTTATTTTGTACCTGAAAAAATGTTACCTTCGTGTTGCAGGGGTCAAGAGTTGCAAAGACACCAAAAATTCCCATTTTTTCGAGTAAAATAAACTTTTCCTGAAAGTTGAAGGCTGATGAACTAAAACAGAGGTGATATTCGGATTTACTGCTTCAAAACACTTAAGAATCACCTAATTTCGACCGGGGGACATTTTTGTTATTTTTTCACATGATCTCCATAATCAGCATAGTCTTAAAAGCGTCAGAAATCACATTTGAAGTCAAGTTTATCGGTCAGGATGTTAATATTTTGTTAAACTAAGATGTAAAATGAAATAAGCTACCCAAAAATCATAAGATTCATTACCTTTTAATACGGTACATTGCATCTTTGGATTAAGTTCCGTTAAATCCAGTCTGTGGACCACAGTGGCACTTGGGCGATCACTGGGGTTAAGCAACGTCGGGCGTCGTTAGTACGTAGATGGTAGACCGTTCGGGAACATGACCACGGCGGCGCGGCGCGGAGCTTTGCGTAGGTTACGCCTACACACAATGCCTCGGCACTAAAGCAAATTAATTTTCGTATACGGGGGTATCCAAAAGTACGGACCCCCCCCCCCCTTATAACTTTTAAACAAAAAATGCTAGAGATTTGAAATTTGGGGAATATTCCTTGGTCAAGGAAATCACTTTTTGGGGTACCCAAAACTTCGAAGGGCAACCCCCCTGAGGTGGGGAGGACCCTAACTTTTTGTTCAAAAAGGAACCCCTATCTTGTGATACATCATTCGAAAGTGCTTTAAAAAAGAAACCATTTGGCGAAAACCGACTGTCGATATCTTAATTTTTAATAAAATGGCGGAAAATGCGTTTTTTGGCTATGAACCGACGGATACACATGGAACTTGGATTCCAGGGGGTTTCGGGCACGAGAAAAACAAATCCAATTTCAGATTTGCAAAAACCAATTTTCCAGCAAATCCGTCTGTAAATAGCCGTAAAAAGCATCTTCCAACATTTTTTGGCCGCCATTTTGTTAAAAATGGAAAAATCGACGATCGGTTTTCGCCAAATGGTTCCTTTTTTAAGGTCCTTTCGAATAATGTATCACAAGATTGGGGTTCCCATTTGGAAAGAAAAATTAGGGTCCGCCCCCCCCCCCTCAGGGGACCGCCCCCCGAAATTTTGGGTGCACCAAAAAGTAGTTCCCTTTGACCAAGGAACATTTCCCAAATTTCGAATCTCTAGCATTTTTTGTTCGACAGTTATAGGGGGGTCCCGCACTTTTTGATAACCCTGTATAATCCTTAATTTTTTCTTCTATGGCTCTGCTACTATCCACTGCCCAAATTTACCTGGGTGGAAGTCCAAGGGGAATGTTTCAGCAGGGATGGTAACATTGCCGTTGAATATTGCCGAAACGTTGCCTGGAGATGTTGCGGCCTGTGAGACAAAATTCAGTTTGCCACAACATTGCTACAACGTTGCCAGGAAACATTTCCGGATAATTGGAAATGTTGCCGCAATGTTGGTGCAACGTTGCTTTGCCGGGCGGGTTTCTTTACTAGTAGGTACCAACTTGGTAATGGTTAACTCTCTACTACATGTACCCTACTTTAATACTTTATTACAGATACTTCTTTAGATTCTATGTGAATGAAATTAAGGACGTCCTTCATACTCTCGAATTTTTTAGATGAAATAAAATACTCATCCATCTACTTATCCATCCATCCATCCGTCGGTCGATCTGCCCATCCATCCAATACAAAATTACTAAATGATTGAAGCAATAAACAAAGGAAAAATGATACGTAGTATTATCTTGAATAAAAGCTATTATGATTAAATACCTTTTCTCCTCTTGTCTAGTCTACTCATGATCAAGTCTTGAACTTGCTTAGCAGTTGTTTGTGGGGAGAAATTTAAAAACACAGGTCGGTATTTCTCAAGGTCAATTTTCTTCAACAAAAAATTCTGAAAAAGGGTACAACAAATAAAATGAATAAGAGACTCCTACACAGCTAGGGCTGCACAGTTCGGTTTAAAAGGTCTTCATTTTTTCAAGACCACCCGCAATTTTTTTCTCTGAAAGTGTCAGAGAAGGTCTCTAGATTGAAAAAGTGATAATCGCTAAATGATAAGTGAAGCAGTTTTTTCTTAGAGTTTTTCGATTTTTAAGGTAAAATGGTGGCAAAGGTATGCCAATATGCGACCACCAAATCCCATAACCCGCTGGTCGAATAAAGTTCACACCCTAGTTAGCGACCCTAAAATGGCACAATTTCAAACCGCAGGGATTTTTCTGAAACTGGGCCCAAACGATACCTTATGATACCTTAAGACCGCGGTAAAAATTTTAGCTTGAGTGAACGAACGGTTCTAAAGGAATGAGGGGGGCGGCAAAGTTGCCAAATTGCCATCATTGTTGACAGCGTTTTTACAGCAAAAACGACGTGAAAAATGGACGGAAAAGTTACACCTTTGATAAGTTTCGGCTGCAAATGTTTTTATCAGTCTACCTTGCACATCTCTGTGTTCAGTTTCAAAAATTTTCACCGCGCAAAGGGTCCAAAAGGGGGGAAATCGGGGACGAATCAGGATTTTTTATCGAACTTTTTAAAAATGGAAGCAACATTGTTGGTCTCCTGCAGAGTTCATGGCTAACAATGTTTTCAATAGTCATCAATGCATACAATTGTGTTCAGCTTAACACATTTTCATCGCACAATGGTCCAAAACGGGGGAATTAGCTTACAAATAAGGTCCTCTCTCAAACTTTTTAAAAATGAAGTAAAACTGCTGGTCCCCTGTGGGGTTCAGATCCCGAAAAAAGTCATGCATTTAATTTTTTTAAATTAATATCGTATGTCAGACCATATGCATTTCTTTTTGCGTTGCACTAAAAATAATGGGTAAGCTTCTTCATCACGTCACAGTACTAATGTTTGAAGATGTTTTTTTTGTTTATTTTACCTTATTTTTAATATTTATTTTGTTTCTTTTCTTTTCTGTTTTTTTTTTTAAAAAAATTCGGTTTTTCTAATTTTGGTTGCTTTTTGTTTTTTTAAGTTTTTTGTTTTCTGTTTTTTTTTTAAAAAAATTCTTTTGTTTTCTAGTTTCTTATTCTTTTTTTAGGCTATTCAAATCCGTTTCTTTCTTTTTCCTAATATTTTTTTTAATTTATAAAAGTCTGCATATTTGATTGAAACAATGCTGCAAAGTCGAATCTAAAACAAAGTTCTGTGAACGATATGGTCTGGCATACGATATTAATTGAAAAAATATTAAATGCATGAATTTATCCGGGATTTGAACTCCACAGGGGACCAACAGTTTTACTTCATTTTTAAAAAGTATGAGAAAGGGATCTTAATTCGTCCGCTAATTCATTCATTTTTGACCACGGTGTGATGAAGATTTGCAAAGATGAACATGATTTTATGCATTAACGACCAATAAGAACACTGACAAAAAGGACACATAAATCTAAGAAAACGCGTTAATTTGGGTTTTATACTCATTCCAAGGCGGGTCCGCCTTAGAAGAATGCGCCGGTTTTCTCAATGTAGGCCCTCATGATTCTCTTGGAACAAGAAAATCCTTTTTTCTTGAATAAAATAAACGGGATTTAAAAAAAAAAACGAACGTGTACTTGAATGAAGAAACCTGTTTCTTAAGATTAGTAAACGGGGACAACGCCGGCGTTTATTTTCTTCAACTCCCCAGCTTGTTGAAAGAGGAAAACACGTTTCGTCAAAAGAATAAATCGTTCTCTTAAAAGTAGTAAAATTGGACGAACGCCTTCTGAAAACGTCCATTGCCTCTTTTCAAGTCATCTGCTTGCTTGATCAAGTAAAATACGGTGCGTCGAAAGAAAGAACCAGTATCCTTAAAATTAGTTAACAGACTGAGCGCTTTCCGAGGGGGAAAACCAATCAGCATTATGCTTGTTGCCTTATTCCAAGTAACAACTCGCTTGATGAAATTGGTATCCTTACTTTTAGGTGAACAAGCCGATGTTGAAAAAAAATCAAAAGTCACTACATGACACACCTATTTTTGGACAAACACAGGAGGCTACTGAATGTAACCACTCTGGGGCGGTCCTCATCCAGCACTGCTGTTAACGCCGCAACGATTTTCCGGCATTAACGTAACTAGCCGGCGGCTATGTTACGCAACTTGCGCAACTTGGCAGCCATGCCGCCGTGACTCGGCGACCGGTCTAACCGGTTACGTAAGTCCGTCGTCCGATCCGCGGCGCGGCTCCCGGCCGCGTCCGACGCGTCCACGCGTGTCGTCTATAAAAAGGCATCCGCCAGGCGTGCGGTCATCATTCGATCATCGCTCTTCGATCAGTCAAGTCCTCCGTCTGCTGCGCTCCTGACCAAGGCTTCCTGTATTCGATCACTGCTGCTCTTCACCGCACGGTAATAAACAAAATCTTTCTTTTTTGCCCTCTCTCTTTCTTTTACCCGGCTGAGCATCTCGGCTGGGACCTCTCTCTCTCTCTCTCTCTCCCCCTCTTTTAGACCCGACTGAGTTTCTCGGTTGGGAAGATTCTTCTCTTTCCTCTTTTTCTTCTCAACGCGGCTGAGTATCTCGGCTGGTAGCCCTTCTGAGTATCTCGGTGGGATTTTCTTTCTTCCTCTCTTTTCTCATCTCGGCTGAGTATCTCGGCTGAGCTCTCTCTCTCTCTCTCCCTCTCATCTCGGCTGAGTATCTCGGCTGAGCTCTCTCTCTCTCTCTCATCTCGGCTGAGCATCTCGGCTGAGCTCTCTCTTTCTCTCTCATCTCGGCTGAGCTCTCTCCCTCTCCCTTTCCTCTCATCGCGGCTGAGTATCTCGGCTGGTAGCCCTTCTGAGTATCTCGGTGGGACCTTCCTCCTCCCTCCTTTTTTCCTCAAAGGGCCATCGCTATGGACGTTGCGATCATTCGCGACCGCTAATCGTCCCCACCAGCTCTCCTCTTTTGAGAGCGCTCTCGGGCAGACTCTAGCCCCTCCGCTCCCCTTACACGGGCGCAAACAACTGCACTAACCGATGCGTTTCGTATCATTAATAAGATCGATCTCATGCAGTAGAACATGGCTGATTCTTGATCAGTAGATCCTAAGGAACACATACACACCAATTTTTTGCCATTATCATTGATGCTGATTTTTCGACTTTTTCGGCGCTCGATCGACTGTTTTCCCCACTCTGATACGGTTTTTAGCTTCATTCCTGCCAAGTTTGGAGGAAGTAGCTTCAACAGTTTTTCTGTAAAGTGTTGGTAATGAGTCGGTACAGTAGCTTTATATATTTAATGATGACGCTTTCCAGCCACAGTGGAAACGAAAAGGTAGATTTCAACTAATCGTTTCTATGAAAACAGTTGTGCCTAATGAGCCTGAAAGGTCGAAAAATCATTCCCCTTGGACTTGGGATGTTCAGAATAAGGGGTGGTTTTAGAGAGTGGGTGAAGATAGGTTGTTTTGAAGACCACAACGAGGCGAGTGTTTTGAGGTATCATACCGACTAAGATCGGACGAGTTCGAAAAACCATCCCCCAGTGGCCTTGATGTTACTGTACACTAAGGGATGGGCCGATTTTCACCAAAAATAAAACCTGATGTAGACCATACCTATAGTAGTGAAGAACCATGCTTAGTTTTGTTTTGATTGTATTGATGTAGGACCGGGAAAAAAACGGTCGCAAAAGTGCGTAAGCAGCTCCCAGTTTTATGTACAAAGGCTGTCCCAAAAGTTCCGCATCGGTACACCGTATAAGCCAACAAAGAAAGCTAGCAAGTTGCGGTTTGCAGGGTTCCTTAGATCAACTCAATAGCTACACAACGAGCACTTGTCAAGCTCATTTTGGCAAAAATTGACCAAGATACAGCGATTTTTTGGAGACATGTTGGGTGGACCCCTAACAGATTTTAGGACTTTTCTCAGGGGAAAAAACAAACAAACAAAGTTTAAACATTAAGCAAACGGGCGATAGTGCGTATTAGATCAGTCTGTTGAGTACTCTCCAAACCCATATTCGTAGTAAACGCCCCGATACGAGGAAACGTGGATCCTTCACCAGGAACGCTCGTCCACACACGTCCATTCTCACGCGCGAATTTATGGAGTTAAAAGACATGGTGATCCTCGCGCACCCCTCCCCCTCCCCTATAGCCCGGATCTCGCACCTTGCGATTTCTGGCTTTTTCCAGAACTAAAAAACGCTTTACGAGGTTCCAGGCTCAATTCAGTTGCTGAAATTAAGGCCGCAGCTCAAGTTTTTTTTGGAACTCTCACTCCCGAGGATACCCCCTCACAACCTTTGGAACGTAACCTTTTGTGTCGTACCTCGCGTCGTATCCATGACGCGTTATTTTAATGCCATCTTGAGGGTGATTTACGGATGAGGTCTAAAAAGACCCAAACCGGTATAGATCTCTCAGCGTGATTCCAACTAAATATCCCAATGCAAACTGCCTGAGCTGAACACTCTCCCCCCTCAGTTTTGTAGTGGTACTTACTCATTAGATTTAAAAAAAAAGATTTTGACTCTAATTATAATTTGTGGAACTTCTTGGCTTTGATTTCCTCGCGAAATGGTGTGGACCCACCACCATTTCTCCACCTTGGTATCTATCTCTTGGTTTTTGGATTTGCGCGACCGATGTCGCAAAATTTACCTCGATTTGATAACGAGATATTTGCGTTTTTGCCGCTGGACAGTTTTTGCTAATTCGATCTCGGAAACTACTGGACCAATTTTCCTCGGATTTGTTTTAAATGAAAGCTCTCTTAGGCTGTAGATGTGACAGCGCCCCTTGGTTTTTGGATTTGCTCGACCGATGTTGCAAAATTTACCTCGATTTGATAACGAAATATTTGCGTTTTTGCCTCTTGACGAGTCATATGGTTTGGGGACCTCCCACCCTCTGATTTCCCGTTTCCCTCTCCACGGAAACCCATCCCTACCTGCTCATAACACGTGTAACCCTTCTACTCTGACTTGGGCCCTATGGCCAGTATCACTCCCTTCCTTATGCTGTCTAACTCGGAACACCTGCTATGCATTTCCTCCGTCGCATTGTGCATAATCAGTTCTCGGTTTGTCCAGGTTTCTCATCAGTGCGTCTAGAGTTTTGCTTTCTTGATTTTGTCTTTAGTTTTTTTTTAGGTACATTAAAATTACTTACTTTTGATGTGTAATTTTTAGAAAATAATTTTCATTTTTACGGCAGCACAGGTTTTATTCATAATTAACTTCTTTACAGTAGCTCATGCGTTCTTCCAAGAGAATCGATGATTAGTCCTCACCCTTTCGCACCGTTACATTTTCACAAACTGTTTTGATTTTCTTTTCCAGGGGTGTTTTTTATTTTTCAAGGATATTTTTCTTCTAGAAGTAGGTGGTTATCATTATTAGTTTCTTATTCTTTGTTTTTGAATTTATCATTTTGCCCCCAGGAAGTCCTCTAATTGTAGTAGCAAAATTTGGCTCGCGAAGCGAGCCAACAGTCTGGGCCCAGTCTGAGTCCAGTGACTGGGGGTCCAGGGGGCGAAGCCTCCGGCTAGCGCCTCAAGCAGGTCCATTTCACCAGCCCCCCACTTCCACAAAAAAATATGAAAAATATGCCATCGTTTTGTAACGTTCTGTAAGTCTAAGAAAAAATTTTGTAAGTCACCCCAAATGGTTCAAATGGATAACTTCATTTTGGGGGGGGGTGGAGAAATGGTATCCCTCCCACTTCGCGATCGATAAATTCTGACAACGCCAACGTTTTGTAAGTGTTTTGTAACGTTTTGTAAGTCCAAAAGACAATTTTGTAACTCAATGTTTAGGGGGGATACGGGTACCCAAAATTTTGGGGACAGCCCCCTCACTTTACGATCAATAAATTCTGACAACGCCAACGTTTTGTAAGCGTTTTGCAACGTTTTGTAAGTCCAAAAGAAAATTTTGTAACTCAATTTTTGGAGGGGATACGGCTTCCCAAAATTTGGGGCCAGCCCCCCCAATTTGCGATCGATAAATTCCGATAACACCAACGTTTTGTACGATAACACCACGCATCGCGTTCCAACTTCAGAATTTCAAGTATAAAACGAATCGCACACAGTGGAGTCCAGAAATATGAGCAACTGAAGAAGAAATAAGTGCTCACAGTTAACATTATTTTCAGGGAATAAAAATAAATGACATCATTTGTACCGTTGAACCATCATCTGATTTGACTTAAAAATACTCATGAGTATCCCGTTCAGAGGTTGATTTCCGAACCTCTCGTTGTGTGCATCATTTTTTACAATAAAGTTTGAGGAGAAAATGAGTGCCGTTAATTATTTAATTCAGACCATGTTCATTGGTCCATCTCCTGTCTAAAGCGAAACAACCGGATTTTCAAGTGCCCATGAACTATAAACGACCTGACCCCTCTTAACTTTAGCTGAATAATATGCGCTTCTCTCAAAACCGCGAGAACAAAAATCGGGGAAGAAAATCTATAAGCTAACCTTATGTAACCCTAAGCAGCGTAGGAACACGATTTATCTCTGTCCCGCTGAAACGGTCGGAAAGGTTGAAAGGCTGCGGCAACATGGCACGGAGGCGAGAAAGATCCGGGCGAGAGATCCGGTGGTCTTTGCGCGGGATATTTGAACAGTGCGATTGACCCTGCTAATTTTGGGTAGCCGTATCCCCCCTAAAAATTGAGTTACAAAATTTATTTTTGGACTTACAAAACGTTACAAAACACTTACAAAACATTGGCGTTATCGGAATTTATCGATCGCAAAGTGGGGGGGCTGACCCCAAAATTTTGGGAAGTCCCATTTCCCCCCTAAAAATTGAGTTACAAAATGTTCTTTTGGACTTACAAATTGTTACAAAACACTTACAAAACGTTGGTGTTATCGGAATTTATCGATCGCAAAGTGGGGGGGCTGTCCCCAAAATTTTGGGTACCCGTATCCCCCCTAAACATTGAGTTACAAAATTGTCTTTTGGACTTACAAAACGTTACAAAACACTTACAAAACGTTGGCGTTGTCAGAATTTATCGATCGCGAAGTGGGAGGGATACCATTTCTCCACCCCCCCCCCAAAATGAAGTTATCCATTTGTACAAAACGATGGCATATTTTTCATATTTTTTTGTGGAAGTGGGGGGGCTGGTGAAATGGACCTGGCGGAAGCGAGCGTAGCGAGCTGAACCATCTAGTATATATAACGTCCCGTGTAGTTTTATGTATTTTAGCCTTCTTTCCACTGTTTCCTTGTTTTGCTTCTACTATTTCCGTTTTGGGCTACGTTGGCTCCTTTGTCTTTACAGTACAGGTACACCGTTGTACCGTAATATATGGGTGGATTTCAGCTAATGGGAGAAAATATGGGAAAGACGTGTAGGTAACTGGTTGCTCAAAACTTTCAATTGTAATATTTTCTCTAAATATTTGGTTTTTTGCGTAGAACCAGCTCACACCAACCACGAAAAATTTCCTCAGGAGATTTGAATAGTTCTAAACCTTTTTTTCAACGTGATAAACAGTGAAAATGTCAGTTTTGTGACGTATAACTTGGGGGTAATCAATGTATCAAATCGTTATATAAATAAACTAGGACCTTTTGCGAGCTTTGTCTAATTTATTTTAAGTCTTGAATGTATACTTATTGTTTGATATAATATGCATTGAAACACCAGAAAACTATATTATTCAATTTAATTTGAGACTTGAAGCTCGCTTAACTCAATAATATGTCAGTTTGGTGACGCTATGCGTTTTAGTTTGTGGCCACTCAAGAGATAGCGCTTATGTGCGGATTAAGGCATGACTGATTGTGAGTGCGGAAAGGTAGAACGGACAGACGTGAACTTGATAAGTCCTCATATTTCTTCCAATTTCAGCATAATTTCAGTTTTTCCCATGATTTTTGGAGTGTCTCACTGATTCAATGTCAGTTTAGTGATGGTGTTTTCCATCAAAAATTTTGGTGGAATATGCAAGGAATATGTGAGCAAATATTTTTTTCTTACATCTACAGGTAGCCTCTCGACCTTAACTCAATTATTCGTTTGATTTTGTTACTGTAAATTGGCAGGAAAAATTAATAACAGCAACAGTTTGGTGACGTCACTAAACCTGACATGTCCAAACCAAACTAACATGTCAAGCTTGGTAAAGAAAAATAATCGTAAAGATATTGCAATGCACGCAATTAAATTCTATAGTATGGAGCTCTACGATGACAGAAAAGGAGTCTATAGCTTGTTACGGCCAAATCACTTTTCAACTTTTTTTCAGAACCATTTTCTCCCATTAGCTGAAATCCACCCATATACACCTTACTATAGTAACATCAAGGCCACTGGGGGATGGTTTCTCGAACTCGTCCGATCTTAGTCGGTGATACCTCAAAACACTCGTCTCGTTGTGGTCTTCAAAACAACCTACCTTCACCCATACTCTAAACCCACCCCGTATTCTGAAAATCCCAAGTCCAAGGGGGAATGATTTTTCGATCTGTTAGCTCATTAGGCACAAATATTTTCATTGAAACGTTTAATCGAAATCTATCATTTCGTTTCCACTGTGGCTGGGAAGCATTTTTTTCCTCTTTACATTTTTTCTTCTCTTATTTTTGCCGGATGCGCTCTCCGAATGATTCACCTTTAATCTGGCCGTGTGTCTGTAAAACTATTTTTTCTAGGTACTCATTTATTCATACAAAAACATTTTAATATGATCCAACCTCGCATGTAGATATCCCTACGTTCAGACAACTGAAGAGTTACTTATTTGGTGGTGCTTAAGACCGTGCATATATAATTTGGCGATAAAGAGAGAAGAAATACTGAAAAATTACAATAGTGTAGACTGATTTTCCCGTGCCCGTTGGACCAACCCACAGCAGAGGTTTCTCATGAATTAATAACAACTGCATTAAGGCGTTGCATCGCACAGTTTCTGCTGTCATGACAATTATTTGATTGACTGGGATATCTCTTGGAATTGATGGAGTTGAAGTCAGTTCTTCAGACCAAAGTTTCCACTTCCCTTTTCCCTGAAACCAATATATTGATGCAACAAAGTTAGCTTATTTAAAAAAATGGTCGCAACTTTATTAAGAGGTAGAATAAACTGTTAAGTACCTACTGAGACTGTAATGTGACAAGAAGATTGTAAGGAGACAAAATATCGAGGCCGAGCAGTTGCTGTTTAATACCGGATGGGCCAGAAGTTTCTGGACGGCCGGCTAACTTTTGAATGGCTGCTCACAGAAAAATGAAATTTTGAGAATGTTTCTAGGTCATTGTAAGCTACATTTTTACGTATGCAAAATTTCGTGGGTCCGTACCCGGGTACCTGCTTGGACCCTAACAAAACAGTTTCAAATGGTAACCCCCCCTTTTTTGATGCACCGTTCAAAAGAGGATCGAAAGAAAACAATTCTGGAGAATAAGGAAAAGTTGTTGCCAATTTTCCGTTTCCAAGATGTTTATGGTCAAAGTTTGAAATCGACCTAATTTCAAAAATTCTTAGGTGCAATTTGAATTGACAGCGAGAAACAAACGAGAGATGTAAATTACTCATCACTAAGAGAACACTGAAAAAAAAAACTGCTAAAATCAACACATGAAATAGTGAAAAAAGGTGACAACTCATCAAAATAGATTAAGAACACCGGGTTGATTTAAGTAATTTGGTGATTTGTCACCGTATTTTAGCATTTTTTTTTTCAGTGTACGTTTAAGAAAATATCATAATTTTTTCAGTTTTTTTGGATTTTGAGACGGCATCATAGAGGCCTCAAAAATTTTGAAAGTTTGAGCTCCTGTCGCTCTCTCTAGAACGGTTGCTGTTTCCGCAATCGGTCTTGGACATTCATTAAAAACATAAATTGAAAGGACTCTATGCACGGACCCCCCAAAATCGCCAATTTCAAAAGTTAACGAAATTCATACCAGTGATAGAGGGGCACTTCCGGCCTCCAAATCCGGGGTTGGTTTAATCCCCAGCCCCCCGAGTGCGACGTTGCCATTTTTTAAAGTTGAAACATGTTAAACCCCATAACTTTTGAGCAATTATAGATACGAAGGTGCGGTTTGTTTGAGTTGATAGAACATAAAAAGAGCTATCATTTCGTACATAGTTTTTATCCATTGTTGCCGAATTTACCCAAAAATCGGCAATTTTTCGATTTTTTCAAGGTGCAAAAATACGGTTAACCTAAAAAAGTCGGTATTGGGACACCACGTAGGAAAATAAAAAACACGCGTAATTAAAGCCCTTAATGTGAGCTTTCCAACGGTATATCGGTTTTCCGGGGAAACAATTCTACCGCGAGATACAGGCCTTCAAAGTTCGACTTGGCGTACTTTTTGGAGGTCCTCCTCATTCGCATCTCAAAAAATCGCGGCTGCTGACAATGGCAAGACTGTACTTTTATCCAACAACGCCTTCGCCTTCTTATTCGATGAAGTGCGTCAGGAGTTGGACGGCAAGGAAGTGGATCGAGCCATGAACGTAGGCATCTCCAGTACCGTCTGCACCCTGCTGACTTGCACCAATGATGAAGTTACGGGACTTGAAAACGCCGGTTGGGGCTCGCCTGTTGTGAACGTAAGCGACAAGTCGTTCAGCGCTCTTATTCCTTTGAGTCACTTCGTGAGCTTTGCTCACGAATCCAAGGGCACCACTTTCCGCCAGAGACAAGAGATCTTGCTCATCCGTGCTCGCATCAACAATGGCCGTCCAATGGAGACTTGAAACCCCATGACGACCAGCAATGTGGAGGCTCCGTCAATCATCGATCTGGTATTCCAGACCAACAGATCCGACATAAAGACATTTGGATGCCAGTAAATTTGACTATATCAAGTTGCGCTCTTTTGGTCCATTTGAACAATGGACCACTAGACAAGGTACGAATAATTTAAGCAATCTGATACATGTTTCTTAACCAGAATTTCACGTAAAACACGAGTCGCTCAACGAAAATTACTGAAACCAACTCCTAACGGAGATATTATTATTTTTATTTCACATTGGTTACCAGGAATTTAAACTGCCCGCTCACAAGAAGCTCAAAACTCTACGTGAGCCAAATCACGCACTATACAACGGTTTCAGCAAGCTTCTCAATCGAGCAATGTTCATTTCCCACCATGTATTTTTCAAACTATAAGTAATTTGCTATAGCTGAACCAAAGCGTCAAGATTGAGGTTGCCAGATTTTTTTATCGCAGAGACGTTCATGATAACGTTTAGCGCGCGATGTGAATCACGTAGAGCATTGAGTTTTCATGAGCGGGTGGTTTCAATTCAAGCGCCAAGAATCATTAAATATCTTCGGAGGGAGTTGATTTCGGTAATTTTCGTAGTGCGCATCGTATTTTACGTGAAATTTTGGTGAAGAAACATGTATCATAATGCTGAAATTCGTACTTTGTCTAGTGGTCCATTCTATCCCGTGCGAGAATCTGAACGAGGATTTTGACAACGACATGTTCGCTTTCTACCATGAGAACTACATCAACTTTATGACGGACTTTTCACAAGAGGAAAAGCTGTGTGGACCTCCTCTCTCCAAGAAGAAATTCAAAGAGGAGAATCCGATGTTCGTGATGCGATGCTTGTGCAAAGATGTTCTGAAACTGGGCCCCTTGGATATTCAAATCGATTTGGAAGCACATGAAAATATCCCGCAAGGAACATTCGCTTATGCTATTCACAACGTAACATTCTCTTATCAATCACTTTCAGGAACTGTAAAGAAATCCACTGACTTTTCATGTCTTTAATATTTCCTCCATTTTTCCATTTTCTTTGAAATTTGTTATACGTAGTTTGTAAGATTTTCAAGAGGAATTTGTACGATTAGGATGTAAGATTCACGATATTTCATTTGAATGAATTTCTCTGTAACGTTTTATCGTCAACGGTAACAAATATCATTAAACCGAACCCTTAGTTTCTTACTTTATTTTCCTGATATCAGCATTAGGTGGGGGAGGGGGTGCGAACGATGGTAAAAAAACCATGAAATCTTACCCNNNNGGGGGGGCTGAACGGAGCGGCAACGTTGCAGAGGTGAAAAATTCACGGGATGGCAACATCGGGCAGCGGCGGATCTAGCAATTTGGCAACACCGGATTTTCTCCATTTATCCCTATGCTAAGTAATCGATTCTTGTCGGAGCACCTGACCCCTCCAAGAATCGATACACTTCCATAAGTTTAAATGGCGAAAAGACAATGTGGCCAATTTGCTGGATCCGCCAATGACGTCGGGCAGGTTCGGAACTTATTTCCGGTTGCACGAAGGAAAAGAGACCCGAACAGGTTTGGACATGTCCCGGCATATTTCGACTTGTTCGGACAGCGTTCGATCCGAGCGCAGCTTTGTGGCTTTGATGCAGGTTTAAACTTGTTCGGACTCTGAACGGTGGCCGGAGGAGGCGACGGCGTTGACAGAGGATCACCTGAATTGACGCGGAAATATCAAAGTGCGGGTGGGGCATAACGTCATCCATTTGAGGAGGTGGAGGGGGTGTAGAGGTTAGGTTAGGTGAACGCCTTACTATCGTTAGGTATGCAACCCACTATATTAGCCCCTTACTCTCGCTAGGTATGGAACCTGCATATTAACGCCTTACTTTCGTAAGATATGCAACCCGTACGTTAACGTCTGGCGTACCTAAGGTATGGTACCCGCATATTTGCGCCTTACGTCGGCGAGGTACGCAGCCCGCAACTGAAACTGGGTAATTTGACAATATCGTACTTGAGTTAGGTTAGGTTCTGTTGGGTCAGGTCAGGTTGGGTTGGGTTAGGTAAGGTTAGGTTGGGTTGGGATGGGTTGGGTTAGGTTAGATTAGGTTAGGTTATTTGGGTTGGGTTGGGTTAGGTTAGGTTCAGTTAGGTTAGGTCACTCGACAACACTGAACTTGGGTTAGGTCACTCGGTAACACTGGACTTAGGTTGGGTTGGGTAACGTTAGGTTAGGTTGGGTTAGGTAAGGTCAGGTCGGGTTAGGTTTGGTTAAGTTGGGTAAGGTTTGGTTAGGTTAGGTTTGGTCAGGTTAGGTAACTCGACGGCACTGAATTCGGGATAGGTCACACAGCAACACTGAATTTAGTTTACATTCCGACATTTCAGGTGACCGCAAGTCGCCATTTTGCCTCTACTCATTTGGTGAGGATTGAATGAAAATCTGTCGAAATTATTTTTCGTCTGATTCTGCATCCATTACTGTGATTCACAGAACTAGTAATAAAAAGCTCCCTGTCAAGACTTTTTCGGCAGAGGAATAAAGGTAGCAATTTCATAGGAAAAATTTACCTATTGAGTGCGAAGAAACTTTGTAGGTATGCCCTGTCAAAACGGTCCCATGGGTTCCATTAGGAATTTCATGGGGACCAATGGGAACCAATGGGAACCCATAGGATGCGCACAACAAAAATTACCGAAATCAACTCCTTACGAAGATATTTAATGATTCTTGATGCGTGAATTTAAACCACCCGCTCATGAAAACTCAATACTCTACGTGATTCACATCCCGCGCTAAACATTATCATGAGAGTCTTTGCGATTTAAAAATCTGGCAACCTCAATCTTGACGCTTTGGCTCAGTTATAGCAAATTGCTAATAGTTTGAACAACACATGGTGGGAAATGAACATTGATCGATTGAGAAGATTTTTAAGCGTTTTAATTTTCCAAAGAAATACACCGCAATGAAAAATGGGTAAAAAGAATCAGGTATTGTTGGTTGTGCCACGCCACACTAGTACTCCAGTTGAGTCTGAAAAGTTTTGGTATCGGAGGAAATTCGCTGACCGCAATTCATTGGAATACGTCACTATCAGCGAGCAAGAAAAAATCTTCTGCTTTAATTATTAATTACGTTGGTATCTAAAATGGGGTTTTCGAGATTCGGATGCTTTTAGAGAGACATTACGAACTAACACAAAGAAGTAAGAATTTCACTGTATTAAATAGCCACGTCCTGAAGAAGGGAATGAAGTTGCCATTATTTATTTATTTTTTTAAAATTAATTCCTAACACTGTTTTTTTCACTAAGACCCAATACAATCTAGGAATAACATTCAATTAAATGCTCCAAAAGGGGTTTCATCAAACCTGCTAGCAAGTGCCCTTGAAACATACCCAGTTAGCACAAAATATTTTGAAAATATTGTCACCTTTATCAAAATATTTTCATGACAATATTGTAATTAAAATATTTTCAAAATATTTTTAAAACTTTTTAGGGAATATTTTGAAAATGTTTACAAAAGGTATTTTTAAAATAATTCAAAAATATTGCAGGTAAACATTTTTTAAATATTCCTTAAAAAGTTTTGAAAATATTTAAAAAATAGTTTTAAGCTCTCAAGTTAGTATGTGGTGTAAAATACACCAGTGTAAATTTAGTGTAAGTACCTACCTAGTACGTGATATCGAAAAAAAATAACACGAAAAAAAAAAATAATAATAGGAAAAAGAAAGAAGCCTGAGAAAACACGGCGTTATAATTAAAGCTATGATGAAAGTTGAGCCGCGCACTGACGCAATACATGCTATAACAGCCTTGACAAGCATGATTTTAACCCGTCACACCATCAGCTCCCTGTGGCTATAAGTGGCAGAGTGCGGGGCTATGACAAACGCGGTTCGGGTTCAAGCCCACACGAGGGCGTCCGGGTATTTTACCTCTTGGAAATTAGCCATGGTTCCAATGGGTTCCAATGGGTTCCAATGGGGATAGATCCAAACCCGCAGGTTCTTGACTGACCAATCCCATTGGAACCCATTGGAACCATGGTCAATTCCCAACGGGTCCCCGTGGGAATTCGCTACGGGTTCCCATTGCGATTTCCTACGGGTTCCAATGGGACCGTTTTGACAGGGTGTGCTTCTCTAAAATGAGAGATTTGAACGCACTTTCCGCTCGCTGTACAGGGTGTTTCAGACCACCCGTACCAGGCCTTTTTCTCGGTTGGTATAGGTTGTACGAAGTCGGAGACCGCGGGGTTGAATAGGGAATTGACCCCAAGGAATCCGAATTTTGTGGTCCCGAAACCCCCCCCCATCCCCCCTTGGGGGGTAAAGGGGGGGTCACGATGCTAAAACTCACGGTTCCCGACCGAATTGCGGATAGATCGCATCAGAATTGAAAAGCACGGAACATTTCACGTGGAATTGACCCCTAAAAATCCAAAATCTGACCATCCAAGACCCAAAAATGGTCCCCTAAAGAGGGGGACAGTACCCCCCTTCATAATTTCTCTTTGGTCTCAAAATTGACGTAGATTCTCTAGAAAAAGACGCATTCCCAGGTAATCGACCTCGAGAAATCTAAATTTCATGGTCCCGAAACTCCTCTCGCCCCCCTTGGGGGGTAAACGGGGGGGCCCAATTTTAAAAATCGGGACTCATTTCCGAATCGCACATTGATTGCATCCAAATTGAGGAGCAGAACACATTTAAATCTTAGGTGACTCCTAGGAGTTCTAATAGACCCTCTGAACGGCAGAGAGTAACTCTCTGAGGAGGGGGGCTTCGCCCCCGCCAAAATTTTCTCAAGATCCCTCTTTGGTCGCAAAATTGACGTCGATTCTCCAGAAAAAGACGGTTTCCCATGTAATCGACCCCGAGGAGCTCCCGAGGAGGGAACATGAAATGTAGAGTCCTCGGGGTCGATTACATGGGAAACCGTCTTTTTCTGGAGAATCGACGTCAATTTTGCGACCAAAGAGGGATCTTGAGAAAATTTTGGCAGGGGCGAAGCCCCCTCCTCAGGAAGTTACTTTCTGCCGTTCGGGGGGTCTATTAGAACTATTAGGAGTCACCTTAGATGTAAATTCGTTCTGCTCCTCAATTTGGATGCAATCAATTTGCGATTCGGAAATGAGTCCCGATTTTTAAAATTGGGCTCCCCCGTTTACCCCCCAAGGGGAGCTAGAGGAGTTTCGGGACCATGAAATTTGGATTTCTCGAGGTCGATTACCTGGGAATGCCTCTTTTTCTGGAGAATCTACGTCAATTTTGAGACCAAAGAGAAATTATGAAGGGGGGTACTGTCCTTCTCTTTAGGGGATCATTTTTGGGTCTTGGATGGTCCGATTTTGGATTTTTAGGGGTCAATTCCACGTGAAATGTTCCGTGCTTTTCAATTCTGATGCGATCTATCCGCAATTCGGTCGGGGACCGTGAGTTTTAGCATAGAGAGTGNGGGGGGGGGGGGGGGTTCGGGACCACAAAATTCGGATTCCTTGGGGTCAATTCCCTATTCAACCCCGCGGTCTCCGACTTCGTACGACCTATACCAACCGATAAAAAGGCCTGGTACGGGTGGTCTGAAACACCCTGTATAGAAGCTCTTCAAAATTTTAATTTCATTGATTTTTAGTTCCGCTCGGAGACGCTCCATTTGACTAAATGTTAAAGCTGAAAGCAAATGTTCCTGTCCTTACAATATAGATGAAAAAAAAAAAAAAAAATCTCCTACCTCTTTTAAGAATTTGAAATCAAAGACAGTTCCTTGATCTGGAGGCGTGTAAATGTATGGTTTTGACGGGGAACAGCATAGATTTTCGGGGAACAAGAAATTGTTCTTTACATTGTCTGGAAAGCTTCTTGAGAGCAGTGCATGGAAAATAATGCTAAATTTTCCCCTGCTATCTGTATCCAAAGCACCTCCGATGGACCAAATACACGAGAAGAAGAAAACACCCTACCACAAAAGCAAAGAGACAAGCTCATTACACACATTCTGAGGCAAAAGTAGGTATGTGCATTTGATATAGTAAAATTACAACTCAAGGTTCGTGGTGGATTTATTCTCCGCGCCAAAAATTCCTCTTTTTACGTACCGTTTCATGAATAATCTCTTCCTCCAAATGTTTACCTCGTACTCGGACTTTTCAAATGTAATTTTTCTGACTTTTTAGAACTCTCTCGAGTTTTCTCTAATAGTCCGAGAGCCAGACGACTTTGAGTGACAAACTCGGGATACATGTTTTGACCCCCTAAATCGATAGCCTTGCATGCATCGAAACGGAAAATTTTTGTCTGCCGCCCTCTAGCCTGTGCTATCACCCTCATCTAGGC